TGGAGCAATGAGGAGGCTGCTACCATGAGTGAAAACTTTTTATAGTAGCCCCCATTTTTTGGAGATCTGCTGTATCATATTTTTAGTACAGTCAAAAGTCGTTAACTCGGACACCCATAATCCGGAATGATCTATAATCCGGACCTCAAAGCTAAAAACTTTCTGCGCATGCATCGCGTTGACACATGCGCATAGGCGTTTACGCGTGCGTGTAAGACCTCTTACGACTGCGCATTTGCGTGTGCGCAAACGCAGAGTATGTTTTCGCATGCGTGTTCTATGTATAACGGACGGTATAATCTAAAATTATCTAATTATCTATTTCAGTTAATGTTGATGGTTGCATTGTTCCTTAATCTTCGAATTGGGTCCGGCTTATTATGCAGACTGTAAGAGCAATTTTATAAAAGTAAACTCGAACTTTCGATTATGTCCAATAAAATTTCCGAATCTGGAGCTCCCAAAGGATCGTACAAAAGGAAAGTATGTTTCGATGTCCATCAAACAAAAAGTGGAATTGCTGCAAAAAATGGATAAAGACATGAAGAATGTGACAGAGAGGTTAGTGAAAACGAAAAAATTTCGATTGACAAGTTAGTCGGTATTCTCGGCACAGCAATTAACGGGACTTGAACAGCGGAATTTTGTAACTGAACAAAAAATTATGTCTGTTTATAGAATTAAAGAGAAAGTATTATTACATAAAACGAAGCAACTTAAACAACTTACATTGAAAGAAATGTTTAATAAAGTAAACAAATAAATATATTAAGGTTTTTTTTGTAAATTTTGATACCCTTTAGATTATAATTGTTCTTTATTTCATGAATTATGGTTTCATATTTTTAATTTTAGAATTTCTGTATGCCATCTTACGCGATTTAAACTGATGATCTATAATCCGGAATCGCCGAAGTCCCGACGAGTCCGGATTAACGACTTTTGACTGTATTGTTACTTTAATTAATCATTTTTTCCCCCGAATTCTTATATTGCAGAAACCGTCTGTTTTTGTTTTGTTATTTCTTTTTCAGATCTCTTTTCTGAGTTTCATTAAATACCAAATACTTTGTGAGGTATTGTGTGGTTTGCATTTGTTATGTTAGGTTTCGACAGAAAGGGAAATTGTAATACAGCCCTTTGCGATTTATTCTATTTCAAAGCCTAGCAGTTTCTGAGCAAATGAAATTCTAAGTATTTGTCCATTTTCTTTATGTATCAAAATCTGCTACTTTTTTTTAAACGCATCCAGAATATTATAACATTCTTCATTATAGGTATTTGAATGTTACGTACATTTGAAAGCTGCATTTTTATTCATTTATGGTTTTTCAGATTATTGAAAGGATTAAATGATGAAAATCTGAACAAAGCCACTCAGTATCTAATTTCTGGGCAAAATTTATATAATTTATCCCCTCCTCCCTTTTTCTTAAATTGTTTTCTCGTTTATCTTTAAAGAAAGTAATATTAGGCTTAATTCAAGGACAGATTATGCTTGATACCAAATATTGTGTTTTGTTTACAGAATGAGAGCTTATACTTTTAATGAGGAGATTTGCCATCTTTTAAATAAAATTGCGAAGTAATGACATTAATTTAATGTTTCAAAGAACGAGTCTACATTATTGGATATGCGAATAAGACTATTCTTATAAATCTTTTTATGCACTAATTTTATGATTCAGAATGAGAGTTTCCATTTAGATTTACTGATTCATAATAAAACACTTATTGTAAATCAGTAAACGCCAACAAATAAAGCTGATTAATAGGCTTCTGATCAGTAAGCATTTGATTATGAAAGCTGATCATTAAGTGACCTATAAATAAAATGTTAAAAAGTCTGTGTTTCATAAAAAATCACATCTCTAAAATGTGAGAAATGTACCTAAAGTGTCTTTGATATTCAGACATGGTTTATTGTACCTAGTGGATCATTTCTTTATGCTTGTGCTAGATGTTGATTTGTGTTCAATTATTTTTGAACTTTTGAAATATACTCAATATATTTAAATAAGTGTTAAAATATATGTAAAACCACAAAAAGTCATTTTTAAGTTTTTGAAACATTTTTAAAATATTTAATTTGGAAAAAAATTGTATTGTACTAGCATAAATAAAGCTGGATTATAAAAGAGAATTCGTTTGGTTTATTTGATTATAGCAAAGCACTCAGGGGTTAGCTACCTAAGGGGAGGGAGGACTTTATAAGGGAAATTTTCTCATATACACATTACTCATTGGGAAAACCCCATGCAGCCAGCCCAGTCACTGGGGTTCGAACCTTGGAACAAATTACCAGTCTTCAGTGACTTTACCTCCCGGCCACTGGTGGGCCTTATGAAAGACAAATAAGGTAACATAATGTCGTATAAGCTATAATCCAAGCTTTTATGAAACTTATAAAATAGAGGTTTTTTTTTTTTTTTTTTTTTTTTTTTTTTTTAATAAGATCAGGCTTTGTAAATTATGTAATATGTATGCGATTATGTAAAATTATGATTTTGACAAAACACTCTTAGTGTCATGACATTTTTTATTTGTTAATGAAGATTTGTATTTAAACACCATTTATTAGCTAAATTTGTAGAATTATTATTTTAGTCTCTCTTTTCATTAACTTCCATTCATTAAGATGATATTTACATCATGAAAAAAGTAAAAAGTAAAATATTTTTAATTATAGTCTAATACATACTAAGTCACAAAAAAATCTTATGACTGGATAAAAACTGGTCATGCCTCTCGCAGTATTAAATCTTCTGTTTCATAATGTAGGCATTAGTTATTACTGGTTTAAAAGTTGGGAAGTAGAGCTACTAGTGTAATCTCTGCACCATATAAAAATCCAGTAACTAGACTATTCAGTTTAAACTACAGGGTGTTGAAAAATTATTGGGTGCATTTCAGTACGTAAAAGAAAAAGTATGAAAAATCGCTGTTTTTATATCTCAAGTACAGTCAAAAGTCGTTAATCCGGACTCGTCGGGACTTCGGCGATTAAGGATTATAGATTATAAGTTTAAATCTCGTAAGATGGCATACAGAAATTCTAAAATTAAAAATATGAAACCGTAATTTATGAAATAAAGAAAATTATGATCTAAAGGGTATCAAAATGTACAAAAAAAAAAAAAAAAAAAAAGCTTAATATTTATTTGTTTACTTTATTAAACATTTCTTTCGATGTAAGTTGTTTAAGTTGCTACGTTTTATGTGATAATACTTTCTCTTTAATTCTATAAACAGACATAATTTCTTGTTCAGTTACAAAGTTCCCCTGTTCAAGTCCCGTTAATGCTGTGCCGAGAATACCGACTAACTTGTCAATCGAAATGTTTTCGTTTTCACTAACGTCTCTGTCACATTCTTCATGTCTTTATCCATTTTTTGCAGCAATTCCACTTTTTGTTTGTTGGACATCGAACCATACTTTCGTTTTGTAGATCCTTTGGAAGTTCCAGCATCGGAAATTCTATTTGACATAATCGAAAGTTCAAGTTTACTTTTATAAAATTGCTCTGACAGTCTGCAAAAAGTAATAAGCGGGATCCAATTCGAAGATTAAGGAACAATGCAATCATTAACATTAACTGAAATAGATAATTAGATAATTTTAGCTTACACCGTCCGTTATACATTAAACGTGCCGGCGAAAACATATTCTGCACTTGCGCACACGCATATGCGCAGTAGTCAAAGTCTTACGCGCACACGTAAAACGCCTGTGCGCATGTGCCAACGTGGTGCATGCGCAGAAAATTTTTAGCTTTGAGGTCCGGATTATAGATCATTCTGGATTATGGGTGTCCAAATTAGCGACTTTTGACTGTATTATTAATTCATTATTGTACAGTTTTGTTTTGCAGAATTGTTTCATCCTTAAACTGACGAATGGCACTTGGTAAGGCATATGAAAATTGTACGAGACTGTCACATTCAGTAGAATTGGCATCCATTTAGCCAGCAGAATGTTAAATTAAAAGATAGGATCATGTAGAATATTGTTCTACTCAACAGTCAACAAATTAAATTAAATGGGGTCTGAAACAGTTTTAGGAAACCGGCAATATGTTACACCCTGAAAGAGGCAGATATAAGACAGTGAATCACTGTATGCCTTCAAATGCATTGGAGCACCATTATCCAAAAGTTAATGTGGGGTGCTATGCTGTATGAAGTAGTGAAGTGATTGGCCTTTTCTACTGTGAAAACAGTATAAATGTTGACATCTATTTGTTCTTTAAAAATTTTTCCTAATCCCCAGATATGAAAATGTTGTTTTCCAACAAGATGGCAATCTTCATATTGGGCAAAGTGTATGTGTAATTGCCTAAATGAGCATTTTCCTAGCAGATGGATTGGTTATGCTGGTCATAAACATTGGCCTCTGTGCTCTCTGGATGTAATTCCATTGGTTTCCCCCCCCTTGAAATAATGTTTAGTTATTTGTTAGGTCTGTTAGATGTCTTGTAGTAGGAATTGAAGCAACATATTACAGTTGCTGTTTATTCCACAGCTGATCAGATGCTTGCCAATACCAGGGCAGGCATTGAATATCACTTGGGTGTATTAAGCACAGAAAGGTATCTCATGTTGAAATGCATTTTATATCTGTTTTAACATAATTTTGAAATGTGTCAAATAAATATTAATAACTATATATAAAACTTTATATTTATATATAAAAATATATACTTTATATTTATATATAAAAATATATAAATATTAATAACTATATTAATATAATACTTATATTAATATTTATTTATATATTAGTTATTATTTATAATATATAACTTATATTATAAAGAAATATTAATAACTACAGTTATTAATATTTCTGAGACACCTTGTATGAAGCAAACACCGTTAGCTCCTAGAATTTATAATCAGGGTGAATGTTAAATAAAACTTTTTTGTTTATATTAATAACTGTAGTTATATTTTTATTAACCTTTTTAGATTATATTAATTTCATCTTTATTTGGTTTCAGTATGGATATTTGTCTCTTGGAGAAGGACAGGAGTAGAAGAGGAAGCCATAAAGAAAAGAAACCAGCTACAAAGAAAACATGGAGGGGTCGTTTACTACCAACAGATGAAAAGCCATGGCGGAAACAAAAATTTATTGATAAATGGATGGAAGATGATAAATTCAAAGGGTGGTTAGCCCGCCATCCTGAAGACCCTACCTTAGCACGATGTGTGTCCTGTAATCAAGAACTAGTGGCAGGGAAAAGTGAACTCATTAAACACTCTCAGACTAGGAAACATATAAAATCACTACAAAATTTTGACTCAACGAACGTTGAGACAGAAAGTATCCCTGCAAAAACTAATCAACCTATGCTTGTTTGGGTTCTCAATGACCAAGAATGCCCAGCTACTACTGAAGTGAAGGTGATTGAAAATAAAATGTTGCAGCTGTCTGATTTTATTTCAGATTTGTGCTATTGATAATTTATTGGTAGTTTTTTTGTTTGCCAAGTGAATATTTATAGAATTTTGATTCCCTTTTACGTGCAATGGAGAATTAATATATTGTTAATTCCTGTTGACCAAAATTTATTTTTAATTAACTGTATATTTGTGTTAAACTAAAAAAGTAAATTAGTCAGCAACTTTTTGATAATTATCTATAGTATATACATTGTTTTTAACAAAATAATAATTTTTAAGAATAAGAAAAATTAAGATAAACTTGATATGGGGTAAGCCTTATTTTACGGACCTAATTACAAATGCTTATTTATAAACTTATCAGTGCACATTTTGTGATGAATAATTTTATTTTGATTATCAAGATTATTTTGATTTGATCCTTTAAAGAAATTTATGAATTAGTGGTTGTAGCATAATTACTTCTTATACTTTGTTGTAAATTTTTTTTTTATTTTTATTGGTTTGCATTCAGCTGATAGCAGCTTATTGAATTATGATTTTTGTTTTCTTGGAAAACCAGTTCTCAATGGACGTATTCATCAGATATAATGGATATGATTATTTTCTAGTGTTTGTAGAAAAAGATCGTACAGGTGTTCTAAATAAAGTAATGACAACATACCTGGAAAACATTTTTTAATGAATGTACAAGCAAAATTTCATTATATTCATTCAGTATAATCATGAACAAAGTCTTGTACCTTTTGCCTAATGACAGAAAACCGTAGGATACTGGTGGCAAGGTTTGTCTGTTGATGCCTTGCTGTACTGTTTGGATCACAGATAGAATATCAGGAAATCAGCTACCTCAAAGGGGCTCTTTCAGCTGAGTGAAGAGGTCATGGTCACTAGGACTCATGTCAGGGAAGTACAGGGGGTGTTCCAACACCCCCCAAGACCACCATTGCAAAGGATCATTTACAGCTTGTGCAACATGACAACAAGCATTGTCATGCAACACAGTAGGGCGATTGTCCCACAATGGACATTTGTGCCATATAGCCAGCCGCAAATGCTGCTATAGAAATTGAATAGTAGCTTGCATTGACAGTTTCTCCTTGACGCACAGCATGCATAAGAATGATATCCTCATAGTCATATGCCACAATCAGCATAACCTTCACCTGACTGGGTTCCCGATGAAATTTCTGTGGACGTGATGGACCTGGGTGATGCCATTCATTAGACTGACACTTTAATTCAGGCTTGTAGGCTCGAGCCCAGATCTTATTAATAGTGACAATACCCTGCAGAAATGCATCTCCATCATTGTAGTTTCTGTCGAAGTGGATACGAGCCATTTCATACCAGTGCCATTTCTGTACAACAGTGAGTTGATGTGGAACCCAGCTGAAAGCAGTTTTCCACATGTTAAGACTTTTCTTTAGTAATGAATCACTCTAATTGATGACTGAGCCCAATTTCATTCAGTAATTCTTGAACAGACCATCAATGGTCTGTGTATAAAGAAGACCACTAATGATGTCAATGTGATGTTGAGGAATGGATGGCTGATCTGTTCAATGTAAATCCACAGTTTCATCTACTGTGCTCTAAATACATTGACCCATTGTGTAACCATTCTATGTGGTAATGCATTCTCACGACAGACTTTAGATAGTTTTTTAAAGCACTGGGATGCATTTTAACCATGGGCAACCTCAATTTTAATCCATGACCACTGATCACTTTTTGTAAACATGATTTAGAGCGATAGAAATGACACTGGCTGCTTCAGTGCCATACAGCAACTACCCTTTCTACTAAATCGACAGTTTGTGTACTCTACACATCAACAACAGCACAGCCTGTCTGCTCTGATATTCTGTTTGTGTATGCCCCGATGTCCTTCAACTTTCTGGGCTATGTTGCTGGTACTTCCATGTACAATCCTCATATATTCGTATACATTGAAATTTATAGTTTAATTTTTTTTAGCTAGTTTATTTTTTTATTTACACTCATTACTATTTCTTCAAGTATAAGGATAAAAATGTTTGCCTGTTATTTAAGAATACATATCACTAATTTAACCAAAATTCTCCATTCATCTTATTTCATAATTTTCTATCAGTTATTATGCACCTGAATAACATGATCATCAGTAAAAGAATTGTTGGTTATGTTTCTGCAAAATTTTGAAAGATCTTTAAAAATAAAATGCTGTTGAGATGTCTTTAGCTCTAAATTTGATTGGTATTTAGAGCTAAAGTCATCTCATTGGGAAACTAGCAATACAGATATTTTGATTGAGGGGGGGGGGTTGGATTGTGCCATGTATTAATTTGAAGAAGAGAAAAGACATTAATGTATTCTTTTATATATTATATGCAATGCCTGATAATAATTAGATGAGTTTCCTGCATTAAATGCCTGTTCTATTTGTAATATTTATATTTATTATCAGATTTTAAATCCCTCTTTGGATTTTAATCTCATTTAAAAATGAAATCTTAAATTCATTATCATATTCATTTACTTAAATAAGTAAGTAAAATTTTAAAAAATTTATAAAATAAACTTTTTTAAATCTCATGAAATAATTAATGAAATAGGGATATAATTTAATAGCAGCAAGAAATTATATAATTCTCTTTATAAAATTCATCTACAATTTTATATCATGAATAATGAAAGTGTGGAACATCTTGATAAATTTATAATGACTTACACTTTTGATAATGCTTTTGATTATTGCATTGTATTTAGACCCCCATACTTTTATTAGTTAAGATGTAAAACTATAGTTCAATTTTGTAAAGAGAGTTATTTAATGTTTTGTTTTCAAGAAATTATATGCTAAATTATTTTTCTTCTTTTAGTTCATTAATTATTTTATTAATTAGTTATAAATAAAAGTGTATTTTATAAAAATTTTATTTTTACTTCCTTATATGAAGTAAAAAAAGTATTGTAATTGCAAAAAATTTCACATATCATATTTCAGTGAAAATATTCATTTTGACTGCTCTCTAATCCATTTGAACGACTTTTTTGTGTAACATCTGTATATACGGACAGAATAAAAGACTGTTTTTGTCAAAACAAGTTTTTTATATACATATGATTGTATCTTGCGCTACTCAAAAACAGTTAGCCATAAAATGTAGAAATTTTGTGTATGGGACTGCTATAACATGCACCTCCTTTTTTTTTGTTACAATCAGCTGCATCAGACCTATATATATGTATACCCATCCTCTTACCTGGCTTGGTAAGTTGAGTGTTTTTAGTCTTATATGTTGGTAAATTATGCATTTTTTTGCTTTAAAAGTGATTGAATTATGTTACTCTTATGTTCAGGTTAAGGTTTTTATCCCTTTAGTAATCTGCATGCAACAGCTATAGAATTATCAACGATTTAGAAGCTTAAGTCGCAGCAGGTCTAACGAGGCCACCATTGTTTAGATTTGAAACTCTTAGTAGAATAGTGAATTAAGGATGGTGCACCACCTTCAGTATCTTTTTGCTCAGTGGGACCAAAAGTTAAGTTTAAATTTTATGCACTGAAAATTTTGTCTTCCTACCCGTTAGCCGAATTGCTTTTTTTGCATAGAAACTCTAGTTTTTAATTGTAATAAGTTTTTTTAAAAACTATTTTTAATTCTTTGTGGTGTTTTAGGTTTTTCTGTATTTTACAATTTTTAATGAAGATGCTTTGAGCTTTTATGTATTTTTGCCTTCCAAGTGAAAACTGAATTTATTGAATGAGAAATATATATCTAATGAAATTCAAGGAAATAAGTTTAAACGCGGTATAGGAAAAAATGTGTATAATTTAATAAACCGTACAAAAAAGTTGTAGTGTCCGTATTATTTTTTTAAAATTTTTTTTAAAAAAGTTTTTGGTGTCAGTGATGCGTTATGAATCAAATTATATAACTGAACAATCCTTTTCCCTTTTCCGCAGTGGATAATTATGCTTTTACTTTCAACAATTCTGTTATGCAAAATGGTTGAAAAAGCTGGATTTTGAAGCGAATTTCTCTCATATTAAATCTCGCATAAATTTTAACTGTTTGTGGTTGTATTAGGTTTCTACATAGATATTGTTTAATTTTCGTTGAATGAACAGTAATATATAATAATAGCCCTCCAGTAGCTGAGTTGTAAAAGCACTAACATTGGTAGCTCCAACCTGGGATTAATTCCAGGTGAACAGGCTGGGTGCATGTGTGTTTTCATGGTTTGGGTCAATGCATAATGCGTATAGGAGCCAGTTTCCCTTAGAAAGTCTCCCATGAAGGCATTACTTCCCTTAGCCAGAATGCCCTAGTGTGCTTTGCCGTAATTAAATAAATCTCAAACCTCAGTAATACATAATATGCAAGATTAAATTTGTTGGGGAAAAAAAAAAAAAAAAAACGAATCTCATTGGTGCAAACAGCCCAAATGGGACAAGGCCTGCAGTGTTTCGAAGTCTGCTTTTAAGTTTGTTGACTTAATATAAAATCAGTTTGGTTCTTTGCTGTTGTGGCTGAGGGCAGACATACGACTGTAACAGTAAAAAGCTTTGGTAGCTGAGAGTTGACTGCAAAGGGTTAAAAATTTTTTCTCCTGTCCTATCCAATAGTGCAAACAATAAAATTCTGAGATTTTGTTTTTTCATTAAACAAAAACACATGCGAAGAATTGTTTCAACATCATATTTAAAAATATATATATATATATATATATATATCAAGTTTTTAAAAAACTGGCAGATGTTGAAATTTTAAAATATTGCACATGAAATATTAAAAAAATCGAGTGATTTTTCAAAAATTTGGGAAGAAATCTGAAGTTATATTAAAAATTTCACTTAAAAGATTTATTCCTGCTTTTTCTGATGTTGCAAACAACAGATTCATGCATTTTTAATTATTTTAACTTTAAATTAAAGGAAGTGCATATTGAATTTTGAAAATATAATTTCACTACAGTGTAATTTGATACACAAACAGTATGCATACAAATTT